GAAATCGTCGATTCATTATAAACCTATAATAATACAATATTGTTTATAATGTATATAGATTCAAACGTTAATGGTCACATATGCCTTTAACATGTTTCTTTTTCTGATTTTTAAAAACTATTTAAAGATGTTTTCGTTAGAACTATATAACTATGAATCGGAATTATATGATGAACTATATCAACTGTCGAAGTTATTCAGACTGAATTACATTAGCATAATAATAATGTAGCGGCATTAAGAATATATGATGACACATTTACATGACAAACTAACTCTAAGCTAAACTATATGCGCCACATTGAAAGGATGTTGATGATAGAGAAGAACTTACATCATTATACGCAAATAGACTTCCAACTTAATAAGAATCGAGTATTAACAATAATTATACCGAATATAACATATCACGTAACTACAAAAAAAGAAAATAAATAATGATAGTAATAATAATGTTCGATAGATACTTTGAAGGTCGTGACTTGCGAGTTGTACATTTAACACATTATAATATACAGAGTATATTTATATATAATTTTGCTACGCATCGAAAATAAATTATTTAGCGATAAATTACAACTAATAGAAAAAACTAAAATTAAAAATATTTAAAACAACAATATCGTTCAAAAACGATATAGTATAATTAAAACATATACATTTTATTTAAATTAACTGTAATTAAAAATACATAAGAATGAAAATATAGTATAAAAATATATATACATCCATATCATAAGTAATGTATAACAGCCTACCAAAATAAGGTTAAGCCTTGTAAAATATAAAAATCTTCTTCTTTATTATCATATATTTATTATCTTTTATGTAGGTTTTTAGTGTATCCTTTTCCTAGCCTAAATGATTACTATTTATAGACACTATAAATATACTATATTTTATTCATAACTTAAACATTTTGGGTATCCTAACAAATGGTTTTATACAAACAATATTTTACAACTTTGTTCCAAATAGTTTACCGGATCGTACAAGGAAATTAGAAGGCTTTGTTTTTAAACATTGTCCTAGTCCGGCACATGCTATGTATTTCTCACAAAATTATGCTTTTTATCTACTTTTTTATTCTTGAATTTCTTTTATAATATCTTACTGTAATACTTTATGTACATAATATTATTTATGTCATAGGTAACGATCGTACAAATTAAGTGAAAGAAATAAATAAATCTTCCTTAATAACATCGAGCAAAAAAGACAAGCAACATTTTTTCCATTTTAATTTTATTGTCTAAAGAAAATACTTGACAATCACGTTAGAAAGTATATCATTTTTAAAAGAAAAATCTCACATTTTACCTTAGAGTATATAACTAGAAACTATACTTTATGTTGGAGAGTACATTTATTTGAAAACTTCATAACACGAAACAGATAAACCTAAATATACCTAAATGCTATTTAGGTAAATAAAAATATATTGAATAACAAATAATAATTAAAATCTATTAAAATATCAATCGTTTATCTTAACAAAATGTTAATTTTATTGATGTAATTTTGATTTAAATTGCTGAATTCACCAAACCCATCGAATGTTTTGATATTTGTACATATATATATATATATATATATTTATATATTAGCGATGGGTCGAACTGTTCGAATCTCGAACCGAACTGAACATCAAAGGTTCAGTTCGGTTCGGTTCGAGATTCGAACTCGGCATAAAAAATAATCGAACCGAACTATCTAGCATCTTTTACTGTTCGAAAATCGAACTTGAAAATATTTATCGAACCAGACTTACTGGCCACGATAGTTTGAAAACCAAATATTTGTACAATTCTTCAAAAGTTATTTTTGAAAATAAAAATTGATAATGATTATTTAGAAATAATTAGACTATTGGCGATAGAAAGTGGTAATCTGTAAAGGGCATATTATGCATTATTTTAATGAAAACGCTATTACAGTGAAAACTGCCTAAAACGGAATCGCATGGGACCAACAAAAAATTCGGCTTTAAGCAGTTTTCCGCTTTATTCAATAAAACCGAAAAATTACGTATTATTCAATTATCCTTTTATACTCATATCGATCAGTTGATATTTTTCATAGACACTTATATTTTGGCATTTTAATATTTAATACGATTAACAGAAGATAAAATTAAAAGTGTACGTATGACTGTTGGTGTATAACTATTTCATAGTTACAAAGAAAAAAGTTCGTATCGTTTATGCGATAATATGCATTGTATGTACATATATTGTATGAATATATATAGACAATTTTTATCTTCTTTATCTATCACTATTTAATGATGTACATACAACGATGTGCATATTTATATTTTATACCTAATATTTGGTTTATAGTACACACGCGCGTGTCATTTTTCCGGTTTATGCAAGGTTTTTACTTGTATGGAACTCACAAAATCGTTCCGTTTCCGCGTTAAGAAGGTTCCGTTTTATTGAGTTTCAGCGTCTATATAAAACTATAGGAACGTGCCGGGACCATAGAAAAATTCCGTATTGGATAATTTTACGTATTAAAATAATTTAGAATTACATCTTGAAGCTGAAATTTGCAGTACCAAACATTATTCTAACAACGAAGAACATGTTTAACTTTATGACTGAAATTTGTACACTAATTAATAAATAAGCATAAATATTAATTAATTGCAAACACTACACATTTTATATTTTTAAAAATTCTCATAAGGTTTATTTAACTCATTTAAAACGATCAAAGTGAAATCGTATGTTTTTAATCAATGGTACTATATGTAAGTAGACAATATGCTATCTATAGGGGTGTAAATAAACGTGAAAATCGTACGTTTAATCAAAAACTGAATATACAGAAAAATTTAAAATACATAGTGAGTGCATGCAAGATTTACGTAATTAATTAAAATATAATGAAATATGTTAAACTAATAAGGCGAAAATAGTATTTTTTCACAGAATTAACGTAGTATTTAGTCTTTACTCTAATCATGTTGTTTTATGATTGTCTAAAAAGCTAGTAGAGTCAAAAAATTATTAAAATTAGGTTCAAATATTATGAATAGAAAACGGCAGGTGGTGATTACAGTAGCGGTGGAATAAAACTACATATGGGAAAAAACGTCAACTGAATAAGTTCGTTAAACATTTGAATTAAGATGATTTTACCGAAGGTATAAAAGTAATGAATAAAGACAATGGAACTGATGATGGATATTACACGGGTAGTTTGATGATTTGCAGTATAAAATAACGTTTCTAAGTTTAACGTTTCTATAAAGCATATTGTACATCAGCTGACGAAATAAAATAAATAAACCAAATTATTATATTTATAACCAAATTATGAATTATTATCTTCATGAAATCTCTAATATTTTTATGTAACGTTCACTGTGGATATTTACGAACACCAGAAAATTCAAGAATTCAATTGGATTCTGCACTTTATTTCTATTTTATAGACATGTTACGGAGTGTCGAGTTCTAATGAATAACACGGGTAATTTATATCAGTAAAGAATGTTCAATTCTGACGAAATAGTGTATAACAATGAATTGATTTTATCCTCAAAACAACCAAACTATCAATTTGCTTATACCGTTCAAAATATTGCTACTTTTTAACTCGATGAATAAAATAATTCGGAATTCATGTATAGATAGTACTTGTTATACTGGGTTAATTATGTATTACTCAACATTTTTCAATACCATATGATATTATTTAACAATCTTTTTTTTTTTTTTTAACGACACATGTTCATATTTATTAATATTATAATATATTATAATTATATACAAAATAATAATTATTTTAGTGAAAAAAAAATTATTTTTTTTAATTTTGAAGTCAGTAAACCAGCTGCAACAAGGCGTAAAGTTAAGAACAATAAAACCATATATGTATATATAATATACGATTCAAAGGATCATATTTTGTAAATTTTATTTATAACGTAAAAAGCAAATAAAAACAATCAAATAAATTAAAATTATTAAATAAAATAATTATTTTATTTAAATTTGATAAACTAAAATATTATTAAAAACAATAAATATGTCTTAATTATAATAAGAGGATAAACTTTATTTATAAATTATACGTTGTATCAATTAAACAATTAACACAACTCATTATTAAACAGAAAGTTGGTATATTAAATATGAGCGTTTACGCGTATTAATACATTCAAATAGTATGTAAAAGTATATTACGAAATTCATTAATATTATAATATTATAAGTTTTTAAAGCAAATGCTCGGTTATCCTCAGTATGCAAAAATAAGCATTACATTATAAGTGCTTTATTTCATAGGCAGTATATCTGAACAACAACTTAATCCAATACCGAATTTTGTTTATGTCATGGAATATTTTATTCTAAATAAGTCGAGGAACAAGAAATATGTTCATCTTTTTCAATGACTGGCACTACTTTTTATTTAATAAAGTAAGCCCACATATTACGTAGCATTACAATTGCATTTATGTTACTATTTGTTTTGATTTAATATAAAGTTTGATTAGTTTAATTTCTAAAAAACATTTAATGCAAGTCGATGAAAAACTATCAAGAAAAATCAACTAATAGCAACATAATCATTTAGTTCACGAACACTAAGAAATGTATACTGATTCAAACACAGATTATGAAATAAATAAACCAAACCGGATTGCTTTTTAAATTTTAATGATGTGATATTATTATATTGACTAACTATGATACGAAAATAAATTTAAAAAAATTATATTTTTATATTTTTTCGAATCCATATTTTTAAAGGTTTAGAATTTTATTTTATATGACATACCCTATATATTTTATATAACGTACATATGTAACACATATATACTTACTATGATTCAATTAAATTAATTAATAACACAACTACGCTCTGGAAAATGAAATAAATTTGAATTACATTTTATAAAATTACGTTGTTCTAAAATCTTTTGTTTTTTAATAATTTATCGAATATTATTTATATGATAATAATTATAATTTCATACTTACTGAAGAGTTTCCAAACTTGGACAACGTCCAACTTGAAGTGTTCCATTAAACCGTACCAATGGAAAAGATGAACACAGAGTACTGGAAGCGATCTTCCTACAAAAGCCAATAATTAAATCGTTGTAACATAGATGATCACATAAATTAAATATTATCCTATAATATTATCTTAATGGAAAAAAGAAAAGGTTATAAAAAAATATAAATATTGTATAAAATATTTAAAAAAATTTGTAAGAAAAAAAAATATTGAATATTATATCTATCATAATAGTAACAAATTTCTTTATGGCTAAAACAGTGACGGAAAAAATATTGAAAATATTAGTTAACAGTGAGACGTTCGTCAATACAGTATTCGTACAGCATCATCGAACTGTGGTCACTGTGTAGTGCTGGTATTTTTCGAAGAGAATGGTTTAATTAAATGAGTTTGAAAAATTTATCCATGTTTACCGACAATTTACTTACCAATTATTTTAAACTGGTCCTATTATACATTGTGGGCGTTTCGTTACCACATCGCGAAACATAAAACTATGTTCCCTATAAATCACGTTATATTAACCATCTGTTATGGAATCTCAAGAAACAGATAATCCGCATAGCTACGCATAGCTAATAGTGGTTCTCTACATGATGAACATGTTTGAAAAAGAAAGTTCAGAAAGTTCATTGAAGATAGCGAACAGATTATTTACGTCCTATGGTGATTTCTCAGTTCACCGACATCTCATTTTCTGACACGCATTTATAACTAATTAAATTAAGAACAAAGTAGAAAAAAAAACTACAAATATTTATATCCAATAGATTAAATTAATATTTATTGCAAACAAAGAAAAAATATATTTTAATTATATCAATGTATTAAATAAGAATAATATCATTTGAATATAAGAATTTTATAATTATAATTATCTACTACAAAAGAGACTTCAAGTTATTCGTAATTTATTTTGGACGTTTACGTCAATAATTCTATCAACAATCAATATCATTTGATTTCATGATACAATACCCCACTAGACTTCAATCGTAGGTATATTCTTACAGGAAATGTGTTTATAACTTAATACAACACTATAAAAGATATTAATATAATATGTCGGCGAATTGGAAATGTTGTAAAATGAACTAAAATTCGATTTTTTTTTTTTTTAATTAGCGAACTGGACACAATTTCAAAATTTATAGTAGTTATATTACATGCAATAATCCGTAATCAATATATGTATCGCGGTCACTGCAGGTGATTACAAGACACTTAGCGTAGGGGTCAACGACGTAATGTAGAAAAAAATATTAACTGACATTTAAAATGTGTTTCTCTTCAAAACTCATAAAAAATATAACAAAAACAATAGGGATATTAAAATGGCTGGGTAATCGATAGTTATAATATTATTAACAATGGTTTCTACTTACCCCCTGTAGCTGTGTCTAATGCAAAAGCGTTGAACGGCCATTTCCAGACGTGTTTCAGCACACACTGCGAATAAAAATAATTGTGCAAATGTCAATGTTAAGTACAGTATATAAATTGCATAACATAAATGCCATAATATCAAACGATAATTTACATCAATATAGATAGTCAATTTGTGCTCTCTAATGAAAGGTTATGTTTAGAGAGTGAGCAATTAAGATCAAAATTTTTAAAATAATGATTTTTTCATTAAACGCTAGACATAATAACCCATAACAAAACGCCAATCCAGTATCATAACAAGTATAGTAATAATTAATTAGTTAAATATTTATTCTAAAAACGTACTAGCTTACAACACGATAAAAATGTAAAAAAAAAAAAATAAAGAAAATTATATGGGTTCTTTAACAATCTTTAAGTACCAAAACTAAAAACTCATTTTTGTTTCTTTTTTCTATAATTAAACTAAATTAACTTAGCTAAAAGAAACACGTATTCGGAAAATTATTATATGGGAAAAATATCGCATGATTATAATTAAGTAATCATAAAAAACTAATCTATAACTTTTAAAACTGTTAAAGGGCACAAATTCACACGTGCGCGCACATACATATACACCAATTAATGAAAAAAATAGATGGTAAATAAATTTTAATTTAAGTCACTATTTTTTTTTTCGTTTAAATGTAAGTACATACTTAAAGATTAATATAAAGAAATTTAAATTTGATATGAAAACAAAATGTGTTAATTACAAAAATAATATAATTTATTTGGTATGCATATTAATTAGATAAAATAAATATTCTGTCTGAAAATTAAAATACTTATACAAGATAAATATTATAATCATATTAAAATTTTTAAAAATAGTTTGGTTCCATTTGTATAATATGTAAATATATTATATAATATTATACATAAATATAAAATAATATTTTACAAAGAATGACAATTGTTATATTAACTTGTTCATATTATATAAGTTGTAAATAGATCAATTCTAAATCAGAATCATTTTTCTAGCTCATTGATTTATCACTTTTGTACACAAGACTAAAACATATATTTTTGTGACCTACTCAAGAATTGAGTAAACCGCTCATTTTCTATAATCTTCCCGTAAGAATACTACAGTGGAGAAGCAAGTCTACAATAAATAACGAACACTCGTTGGTCACGATATGTTACCGGCTATAAACTAAAATCTATCTAAATCATTTATTCTACGCGTGTGGTGCGATCAGTATTATTAGTGAATAACTAAAAAATAATTATTACACATATAATGTAATCTATTTAAGAACTGATACGAGTAAACATTTTATTCGCAAAATAAAAATATTGTTCAAAAAAGAAATTATATGTTATGATAAGACATGAAATATCTGACATTATCAACACGTAAATCAATATGATTTTAGTAATATTGGTATATGTTAACACATTACGAATATAATGCAAATGGTAATTGTTAGAACTATTAATAAATACCAATTAAATATTTCCAAATAATAAATAAAAAAGTAATAAAATATTTAATTTAAATTTATATAAATAGTTAATACTCGTAAATTAATAGTCAATAAAAATCGCAATTTTGAATTTTGAATTCGTAACCGGTTGTCCTTGAAAAATATTATAATACTCCATGCTAAGCATTTACTCGTATTTATATTAATATTTCTATTGAATACTCTGTACAATTATAATAAAGTACCATTGACTGTTAAATATTTCAATACTCGAAGCCAAACAATAATAAAAATAATAATAATAATATTAATAAGAATAATAATCAATAATTTTAAAAAAAATAAATAATAATTAACTCTTTAATTTTAAAGATCGTTCACAAAAGCAATGGTTAAACTATTATTCTATTAAATGCAAAGTAGAACAAGAAGTAGAAGTAAAAATGGTTAATGCTTAACGAAGGAATTTTCAATTTCAACTCAGGAATCATTAAATAACCTCTATAAATCTCGTCTGTTCTACCTATATATAAAATGTCTCGGTTCTATATACACAAAAGTATAATAATTTACTTATTTTGATATTTAATTCAATAAAACCTTTCGATTCAAATTAAGTGTTTGGACGTCTAATCAAATCTGAGCAGACCTTTATATTTATTGTAACTTCTTTCAGTTTTTCACTCTTCGGGCCATAAAAGGGATCAATTTCGTAAACCGTTGCTTAATTATTTTTCTGGATGGATAGAGTTTAAAATAAAATACCAAATATATATATAAGTCAAAAATTAATTGCATTATACATTTTTTAATAAATTACGTATCGAATTAATAAATTACCATACTTTTTGTTTACAAGGAACAGAGACTTATTTCGCCGATTATGTTTTATGTGTATAAAATATTGTACTCTTAAAGTTTTTTCATTGTCATAATACGTTCATCTATTCTAGTGCTATGGGATTTTTCTTAAAAGTAAACAAATTAAAAAGATAAAGACAATTTTTTAGAGTAAGTTTTTTACACAGTTAAGTGCGTAATTAATTTACAGTCTTATAAGCGAAAAACAATGTTTGACAATCTGTTAATCATAACAATTTTATAAAATCGAAGTTACAAGAAAATTGAATTATGTTATTCTGTTTTCAAATAATCCTAAAATAACATAACACACATTATCATATGTTCATTAATAATTTTATCAATATAAAATATATTAATTTGAATGCACAAACTTATTTTTTAGTTTATATTTATACATTTTTTTTTTTTTTTTTTTTTATTAGAAAAGATAAAATATAAAATCTATAGTTAATATACAGTGTAATCACGGTTTAAGGTATCACTAAATATCTCAGGTGGATGACCTTGTATTGAAGCGAATATTTTAGAGTGCTTAGGGGGTACTTAAATACACATTTATTTATGATTTTCAAATTTTTAACACTTTTGGTGTGCGCATGCGCAACACTACTTAAATATTTTTTAAGGAAACACTACTTTTTTTTTACATATTCGGATAAATTATTTCTTTTAAAACGTTTTTTGTATAAAAAGTTTTTTTCTATTTACAAAATTGACCAAGTTAGAATAAGTCAAGATTTGAATTTATGCAAAAATCGTGTTTAATGAAATTTTCATTTATAACCACTGGAAATAATAAAATAAGTGTGAAATAATTAAAAATAATTTTTAGTCTACGATATTATTTTTAATTTAATCTATTGTATTAATTAAATTCATAACAAAATAGTTATAATGATAATAGTATTATTAATATTATAATACAAAATAAAATAGATTAAATAAATCTATCTTATAAATTGTTCAAAGTTTCTGCCATTATGCTCTAAACATGATTCAAGTCGCCTCAAAAATTCAGTTGAAGTTGCCGCATTGATTTGGTTCTCACTTAAAATATTACATTCCGCCTGTATTTTATTTTTTAAATCATGAAGATTGACAGGTGGATCTGCATAAACCACAGTCTTCAAATATCCCCATAAAAAAAAATCCAGTGGCGTTAAATCAGGAGATCGTGCAGTCCAAGGACCGACACCATAGGTACCAATCCAGCGGTTCGGAAATATTTGATTTAAATATCTTCTAACAGTAATTGCATTATGAGCTGGTGCTCCGTCATGATGAAAAAACATTCGTTCTCGTGTTTCTAATGAAACATCATCCAAAAGTCTTGGTAGTTCGTTGGTTAAAAAATTAAGGTATCGTCTACCATTTAGCGTTCCATCATAAAAGAACGGTCCTATTAGCTTTCCACCAACTAACCCACACCATACATTTATTCCCCAGACCGTTTGGAAATTAGTCTTACGTGACCAGTGTGGGTTTGTGTCATCCCAGTATCGATGATTTTGTTTATTCATAATGCCATTGTTTGTAAATTTTGATTCATCATTCCAAACAATATGATTGACTATTAAAGGGTCATCAAAAAATTTAACATTGAACCAAGCTATAAACTCTAACCTACGAATTGAATCTCCTGCACGCAAATGTTGGACGGAATTGATTTTATATGGGTGCATTTTGTGTTTTTTTTAGAATTTTTTGAACATAACCATATGAAACGCCAATTTCGCGAGCAACATGCCAAATTGACGAACGTGGATTAGCTCTTATGTATGCTAGTACTTGTAACTCTGTATCGTCATCAAACATATCTGCTCTGCGTCTTTGTTGGTCGATTTGTATGCCAGGAAATCTTCCATTCTGACTTAACCCTTTTAGAAGACATAAAACGTAATTATAAGGTGAATGGTATCTTTCTGGGCATCGTTCGGCATACGTCATAGCAGCTAGGCGTACATTACGTTGACATTCGCCATAAATTAAAACCAACTCAACTTTTTCAGCGTTATTTATATTTAAAACAATTATAATTTATAGGAGCACTTAATAACCAAACATACGTACACGGATAATGTACAGACTATGGTACGGGTATGGTTCTAGTCGAATAATAAAAGTAAAATAATATTTTTCATCAAACTAAATATCTTAATAATATGACACTATCTGATTATCTTATCGTTATTAAAGCTATTGTAAAATAAAATAAAATTCCACTATAAAAATAGTTAAAATTATAATCGCATTACATCAGTTTCTAAACAAAAACTATCTCATACTCGAGATATTCATTCTAGTGACCTACAGTATCATTAAATTATTATTTTTAAACGGTCCAAGTAAATTAAACATTTATTTAGCACTTATTTTATTATTTCCAGTGGTTATAAATGAAAATTTCATTAAACACGATTTATGCATAAATTCAAATTTTGACTCATTCTAACTTGGTCAATTTTGTAAATACAAAAAAACTTTTTATACAAAAAAAAAACATTTAAAAAAAAATAATCTATAAGTAGTGTTTCCATTAAAAAAAATTTAAGTTATGTTGCGCATGCGCACACCAAAAGTGTTAAAAATTTGAAAACCATAAATAAATGTGTATTTAAGTACCCCCTAAGCACTCTAAAATATTCGCTTCAATACAAGGTCATCCACCTGAGATATTTAGTGTTACTTTAAACCGTGATCACACTGTATACAATATGTAATTTTGATGGTTTTTGATTTGTACAAGGCTTGATGTCATGATAGAAGAGGGTGCCCAGTGACACTACTTCAAACTTGATATGACTGGTGGATATTTAGTTTTAATGATTACTTTTTTTTTTTTTTTTGACTAACTAAAGTTAGTTGTCTTTAAGTATTAAGGAGGTAACGTGGCCATTTTCGTTAGAGGCAACGGATTGGGTTATCTGGGAATGAGAGAGAAGAGAGGGTAGAAATGAGAGGGTTAGGATGATTAATCGTATTTTTATAAAAAATTTTATAGTGGATTGACGCTAGTTTGGAGATAGTTGGAATTTTTAGATCTTTATGTACAGAGTGCAATTGCTGACATACCAAGAAGAATTGGTTAAGAGTCGGAGAATGATGGATTAAAAAGCTTGGAATTTATTTAAGTAAGAGTTTTTAGAAGTTCCCCAAATTTGTATGCCATAGGTCATTGCAGGTTGAATAATTTTCTTTGTACATGAAAGTTTATTGTTAAGAGAGAGGTTAGATTGCAGGAGCTGTCTGAATTTATGGAGTTTTAGATTGAGGGAAGATCTTTTATTTTTTATGTGGGTTACCCAAGTTAGTCTTTTGTCTAGATGAAGTCCAAGATATTTTATGGAGTTTTGTGTTTGAATTATTTTGTTATTTAGTATTATTGGTTGACTATTTTTAAGACCAAGAGTAAACATAATGAATGTTGATTTATTTTCGTTAATTTTTATTCTCTATTTATGGAACCAATGTTGTAGAATTGCTAGATGTTCTTTAAGGTGATTTGTGGCATCTTGAATATATTTATTGGAAGACAGAATAGTGATATTGTCGGTAAATATAGCTAGAGTAGTATTATATGAGTGAGGTATGTCGGGGGTAAAAAGATTATATAGCGTAAGAGCGAGAATGTTGCCTTAGGGAACCCCAAAATTTATAGGGTGAGATGACGAAAGTTCGTCTTCACAGCGAACTTGGAATGATCGGTTCCAATTGTTATGTAATATAATGTTTCAAAGATATTGAAAAGCTAATTGGAAAATCAACAAAGAACATTACTCTGAATATAATTAATTAATTAATCAATTAATTGAAATTAAATCCTATTATGAAATATTAAACAGAAATCATTACATCCTGAGAGAGTGTTAAATGGTATAATTCTGTAATATCAGACCATGTTAGGTAATACATTATTCAAATGAGTATACAAATGCCTATGTTGTAGGATATATGGATTTCAGGTGTTGGATTATAATGAACTCAGGACATTGAAAGTACAGAGAAGAAGAAAAAATAACGATAAGTGACACAACAGCAGTAGCAATAACGAAACAAAGTGAATCATCGTCAATGTGAAATAACAAAAAAATAAAAGCACAAACTAAGTTATAAGTCGAATATTCCTTAAAAAGAAGAGTATAATTAAACTTGAATGACGGCTGTTGTAACGAAATAGAATCAGAGGGCGATGAGATACCTAACGTATCAGGTAAAGCAATCCAAATCAAGCGCGTCTTTAAGGTATAAATCATGCGTTGCTTTAAAGCGGGATACGATTTTAAAGAAATTGAAGCTCATAGGCGCAACTAGGTAAAATATGTGGGGAAGGACTACAGCCCTGCTACCAAAAATTAAAATAACCTGTAGATTACTCTTACTTTTGTATACTGTGTTAATATATTTTAGATTCTGAGCCCAGTTGAATTTAATGAAATGTGGCTTTTTTTGTATGTGACACTATTGCAAGTTAAGTATGCTGTATGCGGTATGCCATGTAAAACATGGAATATTTTTAAGATGGAGGGCTAAATATTGGTCTGGGGAGGCTAATACCCCTACCTCCCTAGATGCGCCTATGTTGAAACGGCAAACTTAAACAAATATCGACTACACATGACAATAATTACGTTTATGCGTCATTACTATTATTGTAGCTCCACTAGCTCGCTGCAACCGCGAATAATAACGGTATACTATAATTCCGATTTCTAATGTCATTGGTAAAGAGCGAAAATATCTAACAACGGGTCTGAACTTCATTATAATAATATATATATATCGAAGAAATCATAAATACTGTATTAAGACACCATCAATGACCCAATTTTTTTTTTAAATAAGCATCCACCGTACACCCTACTGTAGATTTTTATGACCTAACAAACACCTATCAGTCAAATTATCTCGGTCGTTTTAAATCAAAAGTTATCAGGAAAAACGATGACATTTTATTTAATCATTTATACTATTCGTTCTACATCAACTTTACAGAATATACTTTTTCCCCCACAACATTTTCCCTCCGGAGACATCACAGATTTTATTAGAGAAACTTATAACTTTACATTATAGAATATAGGCTTTGTTTATACAAATTATGTTTATGTAACATAAATATTTAGTTATCGAAAGGATACTTTGTATTGTGTAAAGTGATATTAAAAATTGCATTGTGATATAAAAATTAGAGACGTTATAGTTTCGAAAACAACTATTTAAATATAAATAATAATGATAAAAATAAATATTATATAACATCTTTGGAAATTGCTACATTATAACGACAGTTGAAATTCAGCAAAAGGACAGTGCTGAGAAAAAAATTAGTATCGTTATTGATTAGTTACCACAAAACTGGTGTAAATAGAAAAGGGTTTGTTAACAATTACAATTACTTGTTTAAATTGTTAACTATGATATAATGTATTAATTATATATCATTTCATAGGTAGAGGAAGATGCTGTAACTAGCTCTATAAATACAAGTCTGTTATAAACCACTAATGTTGGAGAGCAGATTGACTTTGCTACAGCTATAGCTGCTGCGCTCTCAATCTCTTTTTTCCTTTTATTACACACACAAACACGCCACACATATATACATACACCTAAAACAAGTTTTGGTGGTGAATACTAACGGAAAATGAAAATCTAATCAAGTCTCTTCGGTTGGTTTTGGAAAAGGCGTTTTTCTTTCTACCTCCCCTATTGATATAGGTGAAATTCCATTTGCAACCAACGTACAACCTCCTCCCGTTAGGTTGGTACACCGACCACTGAACTGCTCGAGTACGCATTAACACAATCGAGGGAACTTTTATGACCTTTCCTCGTCGACTTCCTGCCAACAAACCCCACTTGATAACATAAACATATTGTTTTGTTTTTTTTTTTATATATATATAATATATGCATGCAATTTAATGTGAAATGCGTTATTTTACGAAACAATTGTACTATGGTCATTTGGTATCAAAACGTGCGTGCTTAAAAAATGTCCGGATGTTTTATCAACATTTGTATTAATTTACATTTTATTTTTTTCGCAAATATTCTACTCGTCCAACAATAGCAATTATAATTAAATAACTAAGCTCACTCCTATAAATCACGTGTACATGTACAAATATGAAATTTTAATTTTACGAAAAATATTCGAATTATACCATTTATTTTGTACAATAATAATAAAATATAAATATATGTAAATATATTTGCGTATTTTTAAAATTATTGAAACAGTGAATAAAGATATACGGCATGCGTTTAAAATTGAACCAAATTTATTTCACTGGTATATTCAATAATTGCGGTCGCCAAAAGTCAGAAAACCTTCAAATAGAATCAAATTATCAGTAAACAAGTATCCGGAACTATTATATCCTAAAATACATCAAAATATCTTAACACAAGTCACGAAAAGAGAGTTTAGACTTTGAATTGAAGTAATATTGGATTATACTATGGAAATCAGAGTACAAACATTGGTCGGTACAAAATTATCGGGGAAGCACTTTTTCTTTTCATTTTCGAAAAATTATACCGAATTTAATAAACAAAACCCCATAAAAATGTATAAAATATTTGATATACTCAAGCGATAAAGTATATAAATTATATAATATATCTGTTAACTGGATGTTGTTGACATTTTAGTGATCATCTATGTTTATATGAAACGTGAGTGATCAAATAAATCTAAATAAAATATTCGTGACATTAAGAAACTAGATTAAAACATAATATTCAAACATATTTATATTATTCACGCTGCATGTCATAGGAACACACGAGTTTCATAAAATTACTCCTGTTTTGAGTAGCATATATTCTAAAACACGATGTTTTTCTAAAAATTTAAATGGTAATAAATAGATTCATTATACGTAAATAAAGGGAATAATACGATTTATACAAGGGGAAGTTAGCGAATAAAATAGTCATTATATTATTTGCTTAAGAATATTATTCAAGTTTAATAATAAATTTTATTTAAGCCAAAAAGCTTACCTCTCAATTGATATTATGAATAAAAACCGTTATCAATATAATTATAAATAAAAAAAAACAAAAAAACACTTAGGAAAGACATTAAAAATTATCTAATGTTAATTTAAATAGCTTTTTCTCTATATGATTATGAATACATTAAATCAAAATATATTACTTAATGTTAGCCAAACCAATATTGAAATTTGATCGATTTTAAATTCAATTCAATTTACTAGAAGTGTAGAAGGTGTTGCAATGATTATTAATTAATGTTATAGTGCATTCACAATAGTTACTTGGATGCCATAATTAAATTAATTAATAGGCTCTTTGAGTTAAAATTTACATTACAATTCGACGAAATCGAAAATAATTTCACTGTGGTAAATCACACATTAAATTCAACAATCAATTTCAAAATAGTTTCCATTCAATAACAAATAGAAACAAAATTATTAGGATGTTATTTTACGTTTTCAAAATTTCTCGTTAAATGAAACATTATCCAGAAAAATAAATTTAATATTTAAATTTCGTATACTGTTATCAACGGTGATTTACGTACGTTAAAAGATATAATATTTTGATAACTTGTGCCTCAAATATTAAAGTCAAGGATTTTTTTAATTTAGAGATCACGATTTAAATTAAGTGAAAAATACATAAATATAAATTATTTATCAAACAACAGAGATTAAAATAAACAAAATTACTTTATAATTAAAAAAAAAAAAGTTAAAATTACATATTCTTTGCACGTTCCAAACAAACGAGTATATACGAATAACAATTAGTATTTGTAGTATTATAATGTAGCGAACAACGATGATAGAAGTGCTTTGTAAATATATTTTTTTGTTTTATTTTTTTTTATCCACAGTAAAAATATAAAAAAAAAACATAACAGACAGACGATTGTCGTATTCTATCATCACAATCGATATATAAGAAAATACAATACTTTACAAACAATATTGAAAAACAATAGTATAATCGTATAATTCGAACCTGGACTTGGCCGTGATGAATGTCATCCAATAGCGCCGGTGCGTTTTCGTTAGACAATGATCGGGTGGTGAGCTTTTTCCGTCTCCGTTTGTGCATGGTTAAGAACCGACCGTTGGGTAACCGTTTACCGGAATGGGCGACCGACTCAAGAAGAACCACTTCGCCTTCGGACAACAATCGTGAACGTCTTCTGCATCGGTCGTCTGTGGGCGAATCGTCTGCGGGCATAAATCCATACGAAAGAATATTAAAATAACTATAATAATAATTATAAATCGTTTTTGCTGAGAGGGTTTGGTTGAGATCAATTATAAATAATTTATCAAATTTAATATAAACATAAATAAAATAATATATTTTAGGTGTACTATGTGTGTGTGTATGATTGTGTATTACTTCATACCTATACATTACTATTTATTTATAGAATATATAGAATGTCCTTTCTAAATAAACGACCGAAAGAGAAAACGTACGAGAATCACACTGCAGGATAGTTTCGGGAGCTTGGACTAACTGCTGCAAGTACTTGGACCCGGTCATCATTCCACAAAAATCTTACACCATCCCGAGACTGACGCAAAATTGACACCGGGTCTTATAATTTAATATCGTTTCATTGTCAACGCGAATTCCGGCAGTGTTCGCGATGCAAAATACCGAGTGATTATCTTAAAAGTGTCATATCTATACACATTCACGTGCTTACATACACGTTTTTCGAATGAATTATTTTAAATGCTCGTGTGGTTGGTTTTCTATGCAGAAAAACTGCACAATTTTGTTGGATTCCTTGGATGGGATTTTTTGAACCACTTCTCATGTTTTCAGACTGGCGCTTTCAAATTACCATCTGTTTACTTCTTTAAAGATACACATGGATGGGAAAAAATTTCAATGGACGAGGAGGTAAAGGCGATAAGGGACGGTCGATAAGATGACGAAAAAAGTAGTGGCAAAGTTCTACAAGACAGGCATCAAAAAATTAATTACTTTCCTCACCACCTGCATTGAGAGGAATGGCTATATGAAAAAATAAGATATAAGTATACTAATGTATCCTTGTAATTTTTTTTAGTAATACATATTTTATAACCTACAAAAATCGAGTACACGTTGATACTTTTTGGACATACCTCGTTTATACACTTTTATTAATTTTGAAAGGCAATGAAGTTTTAATTATTATATCTCCCTTAATTTTCTCAAATAAATCATATTGATGATATATACTTTTGTGCATTTACATACAATTTCGATAAAAAAAAGCTAGAAAATACCGAAAAAATGAAAACGTCATACACTTATATTATTTTTGTATTATTATTATCATTATTATTATTATTATTATAATTATTATTATTATTATTATTATTACTATTATTATTATTATTATTATTATTTATTTCTTATCCGAAACAGTATAAATGGTACGTGGTGCGCATACACACATAGTTTACTGCGCAATTTATAGTATACACTTACAGAATTAAATCCAATCGATAACGTTAAGGCATTAAAACACTTAAACGACGGTTTGAGTTGTAGCAGAGTACCGAGTTTGTTTAGGATGTAACAACCCGGCAAACAGTAGTCCCTTTGGTTATATTATTACCGATACATATTTTGTTCGTCGACGCCCACTGTCATTTCAAAGGATTTTCGTGTGGTTGTGGCATATACACATACACACACTTATATATATATATATATGCAAATGACGGAACACACCCAAATATTGATTATACAATAATTATTATTTGCTTTTGTATAAAAAAAATTAAAAAATAAACGTTTACTCGACACCGTCAATTGCAGAGAAACGTACAGCCAATATTGTTCACTATATTCATTACTATTTCAAAATTTCATAGAACTTGAATATAATACACGTCAGCCTGCACGGATTGTATATACACATATGTGCGCGTCAACGCGTGGTTAATTTTTTTTTTAATTTAACCATTTAAAATTAGGCTTCAACTGTGCGTAGTTGACTGAAGTTTTTTCTGAGTTCGTACCGTAAGGCTGCACCGTAGAGGTATAAGTGCGAAATCTGAAAACTTTAGAAATGTCACAGTTGGCATATATTTTTATTATACATTTTTGTGACGGTAAAATATATGTTATATAGAAGTATTTTTAGAGTTTTATTGTAAACATATTCTTATGCAAAATTACAGCTGACAGTTTAGTAAATACTTTGATACAAAAATATAATATTACAATTGACACGTTAGAAATGAGATGGAAAACGTATTTTTCGTTTGAAAGAGTATCAAGCGTGTGTGTTAAATATTACAACAGAAAGTAATAATAGAGAATTTTGAAAAACTGATTATCATAGATCCCTTGGTATTACTGTTAACAATTTGTCTTAACCGATAGACCACAAAAATTTGAGTAAAGATCTCTTTTGATCATAAGTAATTTTATAATTTAAAAAAAAAAAAAATCTATGATAAGTTCAATTTTATATAAGCAAAAAGAATTCCTAATTTATATATTAATAGAGAAACAAAAATAAACTGATTTCGTTTATATCATCATTGAACAAAATTAAGTAAACCAAAGTTAATCAGTTATTCAGTTATTTGTCAAAATATGTATTTGTGAATATTGTCAAAAATGTAAATCAACTCGATTAATATCAACATTTATGTGATAAAACAAAAAAATGCATTGCAATTTTATACAATTTAACGTAGTATGACACAACTGTAATTAACAATCTGAATTCTATCATTATTTCAAAGCTTTCCACATCATTCACAAATATATTGTACTACTCTATATTTATATTTTTATAGATAATAAATATATTCGAACCAAGGTAATTGTTATAAAACCATCATAATAATTCTCCACTCGTCACCCGGGTTTTAATCAACGTAAAATTAAAAAAATAACATCAAAATATTTCTAAACAACATTTTTTCACGATTAAAATTTAAAATAAACTTTAATAACTTTACACGCACGTGCCAATGCAATGGCAAATTCAAAATAATACAGTATGCCTATTTATGCCCAGTTCGACCTAGTCTTATAATCTAAGAGAACCCTTAGATACTACCACTAGCTATAGTAACTACTACCTACTATAATGCTTCCTCTGAAGTTAAATAACGTACGTACACAACTTCAGAGCTATACAGGTAAATTTAAGTTGCGTTCTGATAACAACTTACGTAAGTTACAGCCAATATTTCTGTCATGTCATACATTAATAGCGTCCAACGGAAAATTCGCAAAAATAACATTTAATAATATAATATAATTTTATTGATGGCTAAGTAATAACGGCTATTTTCAAAAAAAAGGCTATACATGCTGCTGCAATTACTATCTCGCCTTTTAATCAAGTAAAGGGTTATAGATTCTACCTTGATCAAAGTTGGCACAGAAAGATTCAACAGCTAGTGTTTAGAACTGATTATAAAAATAAAAAAATAAAAAAACAGAAATAAGTAATTTTTTAAAACTATTTTTTAAACTTCTTTTTCTAAATCCACAAGATGTTGAACATTGTTTTACTGAAGACATTATGGTAACATAACTATAGAATGCTCGAGTATAATTATTCATTGACTATATATTAAAATCATATATAAAAAATGACGCCAACTTACTACCAGAAATATGACCAGAATATTTATCATCGACATTATGAACGACAAACATTTGCGAATCATTGCATAGAAAATTAAATAAATTCTTCTTATCTAAATATTTTTAATTTTATAGATATTTAAAAATTATACAAAGTGATATAAGCATATATAATGTTACAAAGTCAGTGCTCAAGAAATAGTATACCGATTAAAAAAGAAGGATATATAATATTTGTATAAAAAAAAAAAAATTAAAAAAATGGAAACTTAAAAAAAATAACTTAAATTGAATTTGTGAAGCAATTATCATTCATTCAAATGTTTACCTGCTTCAATATAAACTTATAAGCTATGATAAATAACAAAATATAAAAATAAATAAAAAGTGTCAATAAAAAACCAATATTTTTAACCATACTAATATTTTAACAGTAATGTTGACAGTCTTAAGTTTGATAAAATAGAAAGGAAAATACCCTAGACACAATTTACAAATGCAAAAAACACACGAAATGCAATTTATAAATACCTAAAAAAATATTCAGGATGCAATTTACATCAAAAAAGTATATTCGGAAGCAATTTATGGTATAGTCACTTAATTATATACGAGGCGAAGATAACTTATTCGAATAATATATTGCCAGAATAAACATATACATCATAATGACGAATTTTCTAGTAAAATTTGTTTTAAGTAAATGTTTTACAGTTTACCACTCGTTAAAAAAAAAAAAAAATGAATAAATAAAGCTAACCACATGTGTTTGTACCCGAGTTGTATGCGAGCTGTCTTGTTCGCTGAACTACAATTGCAAACAAAATAATAATTAACCACGTCCGTGTATCGCGTAAAATCGTGCAATTAAAATAAAGGAACTCAAAAAAAAATCCAAATAAAAAACAACTGAACACTGCACGGACAATTGGATGTCATGTAATTGCTTTGCCTACGCCATACGAATAAAACAGTGTATACTGATTGAAACCCAATGCTATTAAATCCAGTAAATTTGACGAAGTATGTGAACGAAAATGAAGCGAACGATTTAGGACATAAAAATTATACACGTGGGTACACTCCGCAGTGTTATTGGTATATTAGTTATATGTATATATAGGTACCCGGCGTGTTGAAATATAATAATTATAACAAATAATAATTAGGTAATGAAAATGTGTGTGTTGAATAAGTTACGAAACACAGCTCATGGCCAAAATTAGTTTAAGATTATTTTATTATTTTATTTTTATTTTTACACGTACGTTTAGTTTAATGTTGACGTTGGGCTTATCGAGAAACGACGAAAACATCACAAATTACAAATACTGATGAGTCGGAAATCGAAATCATAACGCATAAATATTATATTTGGAAATATATAAAATAAATGAGGTCAATATAAAACTATCATATTATTTGACAATCAACGCAAAATGCTGAATGTAGACTACAGTCCGAGATAAATTTGTGCTAAGCCTAGAACACGACATTTGTTGCAGATAAATTATTATCTAAGTATAAGTGATAAAGTTTTTTTAAATTTTCAGAATAGCATGACTAGAAAAAAGGAAAAAACTGTTTCTTATTCTCAAGCCATTAT